CAGATAAGTAATTCTTTATACGGAATTTTTTCAAAATTCATCCCCTTAGAAATCCCTTCAATTGCATGTCCAGGAATCCCCCAAATAGGTATTTTGTAATTTAACCTGTAATAATACTGCTTCCAGACTTGAAGTAAAGCATTTCTTAAAATATGCGATTTAAAAGCCCGATCTACTTTCTTATTGAAAATTAAATATGCATGCCAACCATATAATAAATCCCACCCTTCAAGAGAAAGAATATTTTTATTTGTTAAATTAAACCAATCACTTATCAAAGTTAATGTGGCTGCATCATAATATAATTTCAAATTAGGTGCTTTAAGCCCTCCTCTTTCTCGTATGGTTGCATGGTGACCCACCTAATAACTATTACAACTTACAACCTTATTGCAGGTTCAATTACGGTCATAACTCAAGAACTATCTATAGAAGATCAGTTTGACAAGGTTGACCATTCTTTTGCCCACATAGAGAAAAATAACAACTGCTTCCATTTAAGCACTTTTTTAAAATTATAACTCAATATTAAACCATATGAATAGAACCATTTTAATCCTAGATGTAATTGTTAAACAAATGTTTTCTAAGATGGACATTTTTGCAGTATTATCAACTTTCAGAGCTCTCTAAAGTGATCATTCTGTCTGGGAAATTCTAAGAGTGAAAGTCCACACATTAGATTGCTAGAAAAGCATGCTTTTTCTAAGTAAGCAAGCAATTTTTTAAAAAAAATTCTATAAACGTTTTCATTTGAGTTATTAAACTGACTACATTGTAGGACTTTTTTAAATATAGTCCTCTTAAACATTTTTTTTAAAAAAGCATGCAAAGAATGTACAGTAGGATGAAAACTATAAGATCTGGTTATAAGAGTGAACTAAACCAAAATATGGATATAAAATATTTTACAGATCAGAACTGTACTACAATGTGGAAATAGATCAGTGGTTCTTAACCTTTTTAATGCCGCAACCCCCCCCCAACCAGTCGTAAGTCGAGGACTACTCAACCGGTCATAAATCGAGGACTACTCAACTGATACAGCACCGTTTGCAGAATGGGACTTTTGGCGGGCTCAGCAGGGCAGAGACAGCCTGGACAATTCCTATTGGCTTTTGAAAGCCAATAGAATTAGACTCTAAGGAAAAGGGGAAAAAAATGGTGGACTGTGTTGTTTGGCGACCCCCGTGAAATGGTCGTTCGACCCCAAATGGGGTCCCGACCCACAGGTTGAGAACCACTGAAATAGATGAACAAATATAAATGGGAAACATTGACAGGCTTTTAAATTGGCCACATAATTCTATTTCCTGATTTAAAAGATTATTAAAGCTGTTGACTGTGTTGCATAGATTCTTATTCTAATTGGATCTTCCAAAGTATTATCAATCTAAATTACCAGAACTAACCTTCCAGGCTATGCATATAGGAACATCCAGGTATTTGAATAACTTGAATACAAACCAAGTTCTTTTACACTGAGTTTGATTAAACAATCAAGCTCAATTAGCTTTTCTCATTTTAAAATGATTCCTCACATTTTAGGGGATTTCCCCATTTAACTTTTACCCTTAATGTACATCTGGAGTCTAATTTCTTGAAATTTAAAGGTTTCTTTCCACATGACCTTTATGAAGCCAGAAAACCTTTCTCATTATTTGATATAGATTTAGACTGAAATTGTAGAAATGTTTCCCTTGATTATATTCTATTGGGAAATGACTCATTCTGATATTATATGGTTTTATTGTGATATTAAATGTTTACACTGTACTTTTATTTACCATATATACACTTTATAAAACTATCACTAATTCCATCCAGTATGCTTTGACTTTTAAATATTAGCAAAAATGAATAGAATAGAATATAGTAGCAATTAAACAAGATTTTTTCTGCAATAACATTTGGAACATAAAAGTATTACTTTGTTGCTTCCATATTGTTTCACATTACAATTTGTTATAAAGCATTTCAGTAACCAGTTTCTATATTATATTTGAATGTACAATAATCCTGTAGTACCCTAATGAGAAACAATAGGAAAAATCAGAAATAACAACAGCTTTGGTAGTAAACCAGTCTCTTTGATCCAATAATTAGCATAAAACAAAAAAAACCATTTGTTATATTTATCTGCTCCAATGATTCCTTCTGAAAGTTTTTTTTTTCATTTTTCCAAGTTTTATTAATTTTCCAATATTACATTTACATATTTGAAAAGTAGCGTGGCGGCTGAGATCAGTATAAATCTCAAAGTATTACAACAACTAATTCCCTCTCTTTCCCCCATAATATCTACTGTCATATTCGAACCAATACATTTCTTATTCTATCAATCAAACAAAAAATACCTTCTAGTATTCATCAATGATCTTCAGTCTATACATATCTTAATCAATTTGACATTCCATTTTTTAGACAATAACCTAGTAAGTTTTTCTTAACTTTAATTTCTCATTGATATTTAAATTTAATGTTTAATCTTTATCATTTCCAGATTTTAAATGAACCCAATTTCTAAGTCTCCTATCTCATATTTGGAGCTAATAATTTTTTTCTTTTCTTCCTTCTACTTTTTCTTCCTTTCCAGAAAAAGAAAAAAAAAGAGAAAAAAAATAAACACAAACCCATATACAAATTTAATTATTAGCATTTATACTTCTAAATTTTACTTAACCTTTGTCTCAACTCATAACAATATCTTAAATTCAAATCTTAGTTATTCGTAAACATCAAACTTTTAGCCGATCAGTGACCTGATGGTTAATTTTCCCTTAATATTTTAATATAACATTTAATATTTATTTTCCAAATTTTTAATTAAACACAATTCCTTTATCACAATTCCTCATACAATCTAAAATTTAAAATATACCCCTTATATATAAATTCTACCATCTATTTTAACAAACTAATAAAACAGTACAGTATTCTTATTTCAAAATTTATATTTTTAGGTTTTATATGACCAAAATTTTTTTTATCTCAAATCGTTACACTATCTTGTGTTCAGAATGCATCGAACTGGAAAAACAAACAGACGACCTGCTAAATCAGCTAGTCCTCTTAAGAAAACATTAACTGGACAACTCTTATCAACATCAAACAGTAGCCATAATAATACAAGATCTTTCTGATGATTTAAAAGCAAAGATACAGAAAGTGACCTGGCAGAGAAAAAAAAGCTAGAATAAGACTGAAAAAAGATTGGGGTTTTGATCTACACATGAGATCTAAAATAGAATATATCTAAATGGATAGAATAGGTATCCTTCTGAAAGTTTTAATCATACACTAGGGCAGTGATGGCGAAACTATGGCACGGGTGCCAGAGGTGGCACTCAGAGCCCACTCTGTGGGCACGCACACCGTCACCCCAGTCCTAGGCCTTCAGTTGAGTTTTATAAAACCTTTTCGCTTTAGGCCTCCGCCGCCGTGTACAAAAAAAAAAAGGTCCAATCAATCAGTAAATTTCAACTTCTTGCAGAAAAAAAAAAGATCTTGCAAAGTTGGGATTGAACTTTTTAGTCCCACCCAGTCTGCTGTTACCACTGCAGCCACACCCACCCAAAGGGCCACACCCACCTGACACCCGACAATGCGTAAGTGGGTTTTGGGTTGCAGTTTGGGCACTCGGTCTCTAAAAGGTTCGCCATCACTGCACTAGGGATATTGTGATCATGCAGCCAGGTTCAAGAACTAGGTAGAAACCATCATTTCAAACAGTGTTCTAGAAGTCACGTTTGAGTTCAAAAATTATGTTTAGTATTGGAGTGTTGTGCTTCTATTTCTTTGTTTTTCATTTATTTCTTGCCAAATACCATACTGAGTTTCATAATATTGAAAGGCAGTTTTCTGCTTTATAATTACTCTCAAGGAGATTAACTTTTTTCAACAAATAAATTTTAATAAAATTAATTTTAACCAGAATGCAGAAACTTTAGTATTGGGAAAACCTAATTTACACTACTGCCCCTGAGCTTAATGACTGAGGAATTGCATATAACATTATATATTTATAAACTTTATTAAATCTGTTGTTGTTGTTGTTGTTAATTACGAAGTCATGTCCGACCCATCGCGACCCCATGGACAACGTTCTTTCAGATCTTCCTGTCCTCTACCATCTTCTGGAGTCCATTTAAGTTCACACCTACTGCTTCAGTGACTCCATCCAGCCAACTCATTCTCTGTCGTCCCGTTCTTCTATTGCCCTCAATCTTTCCCAGCATTAGGCCCTTCTGCAGTGAGTCCTTCCTTCTCATTAGGTGGCCAAAGTATTTGAGTTTCAACTTCAGGATCTGGCCTTCTAAAGCGCAGTTGGGGTTGATCTCTTCTAGGAATGACTGGTTTGAACGCCTTGCAGTCCAAGGGACTCGCAGGAGTCTTCTCCAGTACCATAGTTCAAAGGCCTGTTTTAAAATAAAAACTTTAAAAGACTAACGTGAAATTGTTTTTTAAAATTATTGCCTGTTTTCCCACTTTAATCCCTATGTGTTCTCTTATGCTGATGCAACATTGGTTCATCAGAGACATAACAATGCTTGTTTAAAAATAGTAAAAAATAGGCACAAATATTCTTAATTCTAAAAGCTTCATAGAACAAACAGGATTTACAATGAAAAAAGATAATTAAGGCCAAAAATTATAAGATATTTAGGGTAGAACAAAAGCTGAAATATCCTCAAATTTAAAAATCACAATTACCTTTAATTCAGCGATTCTCAACCTGTGGGTCGTGACCCCTTTTGGGGTCAAACGACCATTAAACAGGGGTCACCAAAGTCCTGGAGTTTTTCCTCATAGAATCCTTATGAAACACAGTCCAGCATTTTTTTTTTTTTTGGTTTGTTTTTCCCCCCTTTTTCATGAGCTGTGCTACTCCCTCTTATTCTATTGGATTTCAAAAGCCAATAGGAATTGTCCAGGCTGTCTCTGCCCTGCTGAGCCTGCCAAAAGTCCCACTCGGCAAACATTGCTACAAGTTGTCTGCAGCTAAGGCGAGCTTTCTGGAAGTTTCCACCCCTCCCTGCTGAGCAACTACTAAATGTAAGTAAAAGAGGACCAGGGGTGGGAGGGCCGCCCAGGAACGCCTGGGCCTGCCTGCTGCCGTACCAAATGGGCAGTGGCCATGGTGAGGCTAGTGGGGCAGCGGCGGGCACTGGGAGGGTAGCTGGCATGCGTGGGGCCCGGCGGATGGCTTACCTCCCTTGGGCTGGGCCAGCTGGTAGCCCAGCTGGTGGTCGGCCTGCGCCGTCGCTTCCACTTGCTATGTGTCATGTTTTGTATTATTGAAGCTACTGTTACATATTTTCACTAGCAAACCATTCAATGACAATGGATCCGAAGAACATCAGAAAAAGGAAATATAGTGAGGATTTCTTACAATATGGTTTTACCTCAATATTTACAGCGGGAATCAAGAAACCGCAATGTGTAATTTGTTGCAACGTTCTATCAGCTGAATCGATGATGCCAAACAAACTGAAACGCCATTTTGAGAGCAAGCATCCAAGCTATGCTGGCAAGGATACAAACTATTTTAGAACCAAAGCTGATGGACTCAAGAAAGCCAGACTTGACACTGGTGGCAAATACCACAAACAAAACATAGCAGCCATTGAAGCTTCATATGTGGTGACACTCAGAATCGCCAGAGCTATGAAACCTCACACCATTGCTGAGGAGTTACTGTTGCCAGCGGCCAAAGACATTGTTCGACTTATGATAGGAGACGAATTTGTGATGAAATTGAGTGCAGTTTCCTTATCCAATGATACTGTCCACAGAAGAATAGATGACATGTCTGCTGATATTCTTGATCAGGTAATCCAAGAAATTAAATCTGCTCCACTTCCAATATTTAGTATCCAGCTAATTTAACAATCTGACAGCTTATATACACCTTGAAGATGTTCTTGGATAGCATCAGAATAAGTGGGAAATACTTGTTGTTGTTAATTGCGAAGTCGTGTCCGACCCATCGCGACCCCATGGACAATGTTCCTCCAGGTCTTCCTGTCCTCTACCATCTTCTGGAGTCCATTTAAGTTCACACCTACTGCTTCAGTGACTCCATCCAGCCATCTCATTCTCTGTCGTCCCCTTCTTCTATTGCCCTCAATCTTTCCCAGCATTAGGCCCTTCTCCAGTGAGTCCTTCCTTCTCATTAGGTGGCCAAAGTATTTGAGTTTCAACTTCAGGATCTGGCCTTCTAAAGAGCAGTCGGGGTTGATCTCTTCTAGGACTGACCGGTTTGAACGCCTTGCAGTCCAAGGGACTCGCAGGAGTCTTCTCCAGCACCATAGTTCAAAGGCCTCAATTCTTTGGCGCTCAGCCTTTCTTATGGTCCAACTTTCACAGCCATACATTGCAACTGGGAAAACCATGGCCTGGACTATACGCACTTTTGTTGGCAGGGTGATGTCTCTGCTTTTTAGGATACTGTCTAGATTTGCCATAGCTTTCCTCCCCAGGAGCAAGCGTCTTTTAATTTCTTGGCTGCAGTCCCCATCTGAGGTGATCTTGGAGCCCAGAAAAATAAAATCTGTCACTACCTCCATTTCTTCCCCATCTATTTGCCAGGAATTGAGAGGGCCGGATGCCATGATTGTGGGAAATACTATTTTAATGTAAAATTGTCATATGTGTGCTAAAGAAAAGATGGTGAGCAATATAAAACAAAAAGGTTTTAAGGAATAAAGTCTACATTATACTAATGAATACCTTCCAGCTCTAGATATTACAGGGAATCCTCAATTTACGACCACAATTGAGCCCCCTAAGCAAGACAGTTGAGTTTTTGCCCCATTTTATGACCTTTCTTTCCACAGTTGTTAACTGAATCACTGTGGTTGTTAAGTTTATTAACATAGTTGTTAAGCGAATTAACTTTGCTTGTCAGAAGGGCGCAAAAGGAGATCACATGACCTCGGGACACTGCAACCATTATAAATACATTCCAGTTGTCAAGTCGCTGAAGTTTGATCACATGACCATTGGGACACTGCAATAATTTGCTTTGCCAATAATTCGGGGGGGGGGGAAGAGAAAGGCAAAGGTTCTAGTACTTCCTAACCAGTACTGCATTTTTCTAGCCTCACAACTGCCTGTATCTCCACTCTATCCTGCCTACTCAGTCTATCTCCTTGCCGCTATTCTTAATATCAACTGCAACCCAACACCGGAACGAGCAAGCCCCAGCCAGTTTCCCAGAAAAGAGCCCAACCTGCAGAGCCATCCAGAGCTTTGCATGCCGGTCATCGCCGCCTCCACTTCTCTCAGGCGCCACAATCTCTCCACCTCCTTTTCCCGTAGCCTGCAGCGCTTCAGGATCGCCCCCCACCCCCATCCGGCACTTCCACTTGGGTTGGTTCCAGTCGTGACATTTCTTGCCGCTTCCACACCAGCCCCGCCCGCCCTTTGCCCCACCATCCTCCGCAGCCTCCTTAACTCAGACAGCACGGAAATGAAGAAGCGCCGCCGCCGACCGGCCTTCGGTACGAGGCTGAACTTGGCTCCGGTTCAGGGTAGGGAAGCAGCGGGCAACGCAACAAGCCGCGCACTCACCAGATCTGGAACTTGAGCAACGGCCCCGTGGCGTAGGCCATGCGTAGTTTCTTCCCAGGCGGCAGACCGCCCGGCTGAGCCTCAGCGCCGCTCAACCCTACCGCCACCAGCAACAGCAGCGCCAGGGTCGGCTTCATCTTGCTCCCGCTGCCCTCTGGGCCCGACTGTGGAAAGCTTCCGCCGCCCGCTCAGCCTAAAGCAGTCAGGTCACGCGAGCCGACGTCGTAATGCGCCTGCGCCGGATGTACCTATCGCGAGCCCAAAGGGAAAGGCTGCTCCAACCGCCGGCGCCGCCCTCCCCCCTCCTCCCCCTCCCCCTCCCCCTCCTTTAGGAGGGGGGAATGAACAACCAGGCACTAGTATCCGTCAGGGATGCTTGTAGGAACTCCTCGCTTTCGCCTGGGAACCGTCAAATCACGCCGTGCAGGATGACCCTTTGTTGTAATTAGCACAGAAATGAATGCCACCGTGTCTGCCTCAGATATGGTATTGTGACAGTAGTCGTGTATAAAACCTGAGGTGTCATTCATAACTACTTTGCATGTTTGAGGTCAACTTCACTCTGGGAGGGCGAGATGGAACAGCCATCTGCCGTAAGGTGCAGAGACGCTTGAACTATCGATAGGCAAACGGTTGAGGGCTTCAGGTATGTTTGAAATGTGGAATCGTATTGTGGGTGTTCTCATAAGATGATTGCTGTGAGAGATTTTTGCAATGGTAAACCTGGGCTGTCAAAAAACATCTTGGCCGAATATGACCAATACGATGTTCTTTACAGTCCGAACTTTTCTTGTACATGTGTAATAAAGTCCTCCCTCCAGGAAAAAAAAACCTTGGGAGTTTTCACTTAATTTTTTTTTGAAATTTTTTTTTGAAAATGTGGGGTGCAGAGGCTTATTGGAAATAAACTCTACACAACAAACTGTTGCCTGGAATTTTAGGCTTCATTATTAGCATTTAAAAAAAAGATAATACTAGCATTTTGGCATGACATCCATGCTACCTTTTAAAATTCAGGAAACCATGTTTTCCTTATGGCCCAAACCATTTCTTTTATGGGAAATAACTAGACTTTTCAGCAACTAAACAATAGAGGGATCTTATTCTGGAAGTCCTTGTCTTGAACAAACTTGCAAGTTTTAAGAAAGATACAAGGACAACTAGAAAAAAGAAATTCTAACCCATAATTTTGCCACATAGAATCGATATTTTTTCATTGTTCAATTCTCATATTTAATCAATGTCTGATCAATTGCTTTGTGACATATCATATACACCAGTGATGGCAAACCTTTTAGAGACTGAGTACCCAGACCGCAACCCAAAACCCACTTATTTATCGCATCAGCATTGTGGGGAGGGAGCAGGGAGGTGCCTCTGAGTGCCATCTCTGATTTGCAAAAACTGGTGGCGCAAAAAGGCCACCATGCTGTAAGGTGCAAAAAAGGCCGCCGCCACGCCATGGGGTGCAGATACAAGGCACTGCACCACGCAAGAATGGGGCAGGGCTAGTGAGTATCACACAGGCACTAGCCCCGTCCCATTTGCAGCATGTGCGTGCTTGAGGCCCCATGCACGCATGTAAAATGCTTCCCCCTCTCTTTTCTTCCAGTCCATCAATCAACAATGGTTGGTGACCTCTGCTCTACCACCTCTACTTGAGCTTCCTAGTTGACTGCTTTACCTCCTTTGTGCTGGGCGGGGCTCCTGCTCCGGGTGGTGGTGGCAGCCTGATGGACCTGCTGCTGACGGTGGTGGCGTGCGTGCCAACAGAGAGGGCTTGAATGCTGCCTCTGGTACGCATGCCATAGGTTTGCCACCACTGATATGTACTGATTGTATCATTTATTTCTGTATCCTATATTTGTACCATACATAAAGACTTGATCTCTCTTAATAAATGTTTTTTGCTTTTCCTGAATTATTTGATGATTCATATCTTTGGGTGAGTAAAAAAGTCCCTTTGCAAAGGTAAAACTGATTTTCTCTCCCAAATTAAAGGAACAGGTCTTCAGCTGCACACCATCTTGGGGTATATGAATTTCAAGGAAACAAAACTAGCACTTTTTTTTTTGAAACCTGTCAGTTTCCAATTTTATTTTATTTAAAATAATATTTTGGGAAGAGAAATTAATAACTGCCACATTTTCCCCTTCAACATTTTAATCACTGAAGATTGCTAGAAACAGAATTATACATGCTAAGATTGTCATGACTGACATAATACTATTTCTGAAGATGAAAGTATTATTCTGTCTTCCAAAAGTTGAGCGTTAAGGCTTGGTGAAATTTGACATTATTTGCAGAATTATGCTAGCAAAGAATCCCTGACTTGAAAGAGAATGGTTCCTTCTGTTTTTAAATTACTGAAAGTAGTTACATATACACTGTATATGTAAAACCTATAGCAAGACAGTACATTTAGGCGCCTTAGGTCAGCCATTTTAATTTGAGACATAACATAAATTCTACCAAGTTCTTACCAGCATTATTTCTAATACAAAAGAGTAAAACAATTCTTCTCTGAACAAAATATGGAGCCAGGTCAATTCTCTTCTGACAGAAAAGAATATTTCTTCTGGATACAGGCAAAGGGAGCATGCTGCTTTTTTTTATTTCCATATGAATGATTTCTTATCAAAAAGTAAGATTGGATTATTGTTCATCTTTTAAGGATATTGTTATTTCAATATGTATGTTAGACCAAATAATGGCTAATATTGTGGGTATCAACAATGTATCTTGTTTTATTTTAGAAAGTGCAGTTTGTAGAGTTTAGCTGCATAACTTACACACACACAAAAAAACCTATTGAAAGATACTCCTGAGCTTAGACATCTGCCTGCCACAGGGAGGACTAAAAATATTTTTTTCAAAATAGCTGAAGTTTTGATTAGCATCACAGGTACATTTTTTTTAGATGAAATTCTGTTACAACTCTAATGTTGCAATCTGCTAGTTATCCTGATCTCTACAGCCCTAAAACATAGGCTGTGCTACAATGTACTAGCAGATGTCTTTTTTCTTCAGAAAGAATTCTAGATTTTTTTAAAGCACATTTCTCTAGAAGATCTCAGTCATAAGAAAAATATCCTTGTTGTGATCTTCTGAATTCATCGTAAGTAATGCAATCGCATAATTAGTCTCCAAGGAATCCTGCTTCAAAAATAATTATCCTCCTGGGTGTTACTCCAAGATACCAGTCTGTTATTAAACATAAATATAAGAATAAGCAATGATGACATCAAACTGTCCACACTGTACTTTTGAATCACAATTTTCCTTACATATTATTTCTTGTTGGAACTAGGAATGTAGTAAAAGCTGCAGCACCCAAAGAAATGGACCTCACATGCAGGAAAATGGAGATGTTTAAGTTTATCCACTGAGCTCTGCAAATGGGGAAAAAATAGAAAAGAGTTGTGTGGCTAATAAATTCAAATACGTAAATAAAGGTAGGCTGCATTGGTGCAATATGGGCTAATCATTTTATAATGGAGAATATGTGCAAGGATGATTTTTTTTTTCAGCCCATTCATTTTCTTTCTGTCAGTTCGAAGGACCCTCAATAAAAGCTGGTGTTTGCAATATTTTTCATCAGAATTTTTTTAAAAAAAAACAACAACAATATGGTAAGCCTTTTAACCACAGGTAATCCTTGACTTGCAATTGGTCACTTTGCAACCATTCAAAGTTATAATAGACCTCCCCAGAATTATTAACAACCTCAAATTAACAAGTTTTGAAGTTCCAACAGTCAACCCCCACAGGCACCTGATCACACTTTGGATGCTTGGTAATCAGCTCACATTTACATCTGTTTGCAATATCCCACAATTATGTGACCATGGTTTTCAGCATTTTTTGCCAGAAGGTGGCATTAACTAAAATGGGTTTACATTCAGTTAATAACCAGTGCAATCATTTAACAACCACCACAGAAAAGATCATAAAATTATGTGTAACCATGTAGTGATCCACCTAATGACCACCTTGACTTAAAACTGTAATTCCAGCTCAATTACAGTCATAGGTCAAGGAATAACTGACTAACCTTAAATAGGTTCAGGAGCTAGGTAGAAATTCCTAAGAAATCCCAACACTATAGACTAGACTAAGAAGGTTTTTTTTTTCAACCTCTGAGATTTATATAGAGGATTAATTAAATTCCATAAAGGATTATATTATTAATATTACAAGTCTCATGGAATTTATAAGATATGAAGGAAAATACAAAGTTTTGAAAAGTACATAGAATTCTTATTCCTACAAATTACTATGTTTGATTCAGTTTTAAATATATTTTCTCAGAAATAAATTTTCAGTAGACCTTTTTGATAAGTTAGAATTCCTTCTATTGCTGATCATAATTATCTTTTTCTGCTTTTTTCTGCCTTTTTCTGCTTTGTGAATAGATTGCCTTATTGCTTTATGCTCTGTGCATGCTAAGCAAATATATATGATACACTCTTTGGCTTTCAAAACTGTAAAAAAAATCAGCCAATCATAGCAGTGCTGCAGTGATGGCTCTTTGCTTTAGGTCTTGAGAATGATTTTTTTTTTCTGGGGATAATTTTCTGTTGGGGCTAGCTGGCCAGTGAGAATGGAAAATGAGAACAGAGCAGCTTATATTATGGTTGCACAAATACACAAATATTTCCACAGTTCTTATTCTGTTCTTAACTTGATAAAGTCTACAGTGTATACATAACCACAAACTGCCTCCTAAAACTGTCCAAACCACAAATAGAACTGCAGTTCTGGTTTTGTACTCATTTGAAAATCACTCTTCGGTAATTTCCAGTTTGAGTAATCATACTGGAAATGGTCATAACTCATTTTTGTGAAATTAGGAGAAAGAAAACCAGGAGACATTGTTTCTCAGTTGCTGCTCTGGTGTGGCTTTGGGGCAAACCCTCTCCTTAGAATTATAACTTGTTTGATCCTTTGTAATTTTTGGAAGCTGTTGAAGAAATTTTCAAAATTGTTTGGTTAAATAATTTGCGATCACCATCTTTAATTTATTTCATTTTGAATTATTTTATATTTACTTTATATGGAACTAGTTTGAGCTAGTCTGCTTTTGGGACTTTTAAAAAAACTTACCAATATAATACTCAACACAGGTATTTTCTGATCATCTTCCATCTAAGTTCTGACAAGCTCCATCCTTCTTAGCTTCTAAGCCAAATAAGCTTGACGTTGCCACCTGCTGAAGCTCTTTGATGTACAGTTTCTTTACTTAGTGGGAAGGGGACATCAGCATCCATAGAAGCAAGGGGGGCAACTGATGAAATGAGCACCACATTTTTATGACATGTTACTGTTTTCACTAGCTATGAAGTTGTATCCTCTGCACTGTGATGCTCATGGAAGAATGTTCATGTTTTTAACCTCCATATTTTGAAATGTGATAGTCTTGCATGTTCTGGTTGTTAACTAATACAAGTCTCATAACAGCTTGATAGTCTTGAAATCAACACTGCCAACTTGAAGAATAACAACATGGCAAACCAATTTGTTTAATTCACATGGATAAGCAATAAAGTGTTCAAATTCTCCATTAAAAGTAACATTGTTATCATTCTTTAAGAAGAAAAGTTCACAAATAGATAATGAGACATGAAAGAGAAAAATATGATACTTTAATTTACCAAAGCTGACTTTTTTATATTAATTTTCTTCCTCAGTTATAGATGCTGGCCTCACAATCTGTTAAAATTTGTGTTTTACATTTCTGGTTCTGCATTTCACAAAAAAATGAAATTATATTCAAATCTTGATAAATAATCAACACAATGATTTCATTTTTCTTTCCTAGTCAGGATAGCCAAATGTTCAGAATTATGTCACACAAACCAGTTTTTTAAACTGCCCTTCATCATATTGTCTAATGGACTCTCCTTTTGACTGCTTCTTAACTGCTCAGTTTTTTTCTACTAGGGCAAACTTAAAAATTATGCTATCTGGACAGCTGATGGTCCATGGCTGACTAGTGAAAAGGCCAAAAATCTCATCTGTGCATATGTGGGGCATGGGAAAAATATAGCATTGTGAAAGAAAGCTATTGTGTGAGAGAAATCAAAAAGTGGGGAGAGAACATCAACATTCACAGGCCAAAAGATGAACCAAGAGATCCGTCACTCCTCTTGTATGTGTGACATGATGATGCATGCAGGAATTTAAAACTTTTATCATTTCATTGAACTAAAATATCAATTCTGCAGATACCTCAGGGCTGGGGGAGAGTTTGCATGAACTTGGTCAGTAACTAACATTACTTTTTTATATGACAGGATTTTTTAAATTAGAGATGCATATAGTTGAAAAAGAATTCCTCATCACTGACTATGTATATCATGCCCTATTTTCTTAGGGTAATTTTTAATCAGTACATCACTTATATTTATATATTCTACATTTATTGAAATAATATGCACATTGGATTGAATATATCTTACTGCTGTTCAAAAGTTTAGGTCGTATTTGCCACCATAAAAGAAGCACATAGCATTTCAAGTGTAAATATGTCTTATCTTTCAGTATACAGGTAATCCTCAATTTACAACCACAAATAAGCCCAAAATTTATGTTGCTAAGTGAAGCAGATGTTAAATGAGTTTTGCCCCATTTTACAACCATTGCCACAGTTGATAAATGAATCAGCACAGTTATTAAATTAGTAATGAAGTTGTTAGGTGAATCTGGCTTCCCCGTTGACTTTTTCTTGTTGGAAGGTCAGAAAATGTGATCACATTACCCCAGTACACTGTGACCATCATGAGTCAATTGCCAAGCATCTGAATTTTGATCACATGACCATGGAGATGCTGCAATGGTCATGTGAAAAATGGTCATAACTTAAGTCACTTTTTTCAGTGCTGTTGTAACTTTGAATGGTCACTAAACAAACGGTTGTAAGTTGAAGACTGTATTTCCCCCTAGCTTTTTCAAATGGATGTTTATGGTATGATATGGTAGTTGTATTGTTCCTTTAAAAATAGATGAAATGTTCACTTTATTCCTCTCACACTATTTAATTGATTTAGGGATTTGCAATAAAAAGGACTATTACAAATTGTTGAATGTTCTGAGTCCAGGATGATATAAATCAAATAATTTATTTGAAAATGAAAAGTTGTTTTTAAAAAAGATGCATATATTAAATGTATTGTAAATATAATAAATGCTATACTGCTATTGATAGTTTTGCTGTCAATAACAAATTATTACAAATTCAAACCAACAAAAACATTTCCTTCCCTAATTTAGTTCCCAGGGAACTAAAAAACAACTCTGTCAGCGCAACCATAAAACACATAACAGATCAAGGAAAATTGATAAAGCTTAAGAAGATCAAGCACAGACTATGGGAAGCAAAAAAACTATAAGATAAACACATAAAAGTAACTGTAGAAAGAGACTTTTTGTAGAATACTGCCCTTGTTCTTTCAATAAATGTTTCTGTAGTTCCATCTCATTACTTCACTGACCTTACTAAACACATTATGCTATGAACCAATTCAATGTAAATTATTTTTGTATATCTAATTATATGTATATTCTAACTAGCATAATTCTACAAATATATGGGCTTTCCCCCTACACATTCAGATTTGTTTATTTTGCTTTTGGTACAATAGTATACAATCAATATTGGTCTAAGCACATCAACTTCGTATGTCCCACTAGAGTTTGTTTATGAGAATAAACAAACTCTAGTGGGACATACGAAGTTGATGTGCTTAGATTTATATCCTAAAGAGTGCATCATCCAGCATGATGTCATAATGCTAATGATGATGTGTGAGATTTTATGTCATTAGAAATGATAACATTACACAAATAATGGCCATAAAAGAGTCCAGGGATATGTGGAACAGTTTGCAATAATCCCAATCTGATGGGAAAATCTTAACATTAAAGAATTGGTTCAAACACTGGCATGTGCATATCACAAGACATCCATGCCTGCTTTCTATGGCACACTTAGTTGCACAAGGACTCTTGGGACTAGCTGCTTTTCCTGCCACTCAGGTTTAGGAAGTGCCTTCTTCTCAGTTTCATAAAAAGCATTCTTATGGTCTGAGTATTCCATTTCTTTCTTTTTTCTTTTTTGCAAGGCTGAAGTTCTTTCTTTTTATTAGTAATATAAAATACAAAAATACAAAATAATAATAGGAAAAAAAGAAAAGGCACAGACTTCTGACTCCCTTTGGTGCAGTAGAATAAGAAGTAACATTGAAACTCAACTTTTTACTTTTACATAGTAGTATAAACTAGCCATTTCTATAACAGATCTATCTAATCAATAAAACCCAAAATCAAAATTTAATTTTTTCCATCTTAAGCACAAAGTCCAGAGCAGTTTCCAAGTAGAAACAAAAGTACTTGTGTTTTTTTCTTTTACCACAGCAGTGAATTTAGCCATCTCTGCTAACTCCATCAGCTTTTGCAACCATTCATCCATTGTGGGGATTAAAGCGTCCTTCCATTTTGTGCATAAAGTAATCTTGTTGCTGTCAACATATATAACATCAAAGTTTGAATTTTTTTCAAAGTCTTTTTCCATTAAACCCAGGAGAAAAGTTTCTGGTCTTATCTTTATATTCACTTTGAAATATCAGAAGCCTTTAAAAAATGAACTAGGGTAAAGCTCCAGGTCCAGATGGCCTTACAAGCCAATATTATAAATGCTTTGAAGATGAACTTCTGCAGCCACTAAAGGATATAATGAATGATATATTACAGGGTGGAAAGGTACCTCAAACATGGAAAGAAACCAATATTGTGTTGCTACCGAAAGGAAAAGATGCTACAAAGATAAAGAATTACAGACCAATCTCATTATTAAATAAGGACTATAAACACTTCGCTGCAGTTTTAGTAGAAAGATTAAAGATTTTACAGGCATATATGTCAAAGACAGTTACTGGGTCATTCATAAGTTGTCTCTGAGTTTGTGAAAGCTTAGGCAACTGTTGTCTTAACAAACATTCATCTATTTTAGACATATCTAACTCCTGCTTTTTATACAAATTGGAATAAAAATTATGAAGACTTTTTAATAAACTCATTGTTATTATATCGTTGCCTTCACAGATTTTCTCAATCATTCTCCTTTCCCTTTCCTTTCTTAGTTTATATGCCAACAATCTTCCTGGTTTATTTGCAAACTCAAAGTGTCTTTGCTTCACATAATTCGACTTTGTTTCTATTTCTTGAACTGTTAACATAGACAGACAATTTTTGCCAGAACAGTTTAATTTGATGTAAAATTTTAGAGCCCATAGGTGTCTTTTGCAATTCAATTTTTTTTTCTGTCTAATTTCATCCAATATCTTTTGCATCTTTTTCTGGCATTTTTTTCTTCTCTAGGCGATTATATTGTATAATCCCTCATAACTGTTTTACTAGCATCCCAAACAATCGTTAAATTTGTCCCTTTACCTAGATTATTACCAAAATATTAATTTAATTTCTTTTTACAGTCCTTTACAATGTCTCCTTTTGCAAAATAGATACATTTAGTCTTTATCTGTAATTCAAACTCAGATGGACTGTTCCATTTCCTGTGCTGACAGGAAACAACTATACTATACAATTACTATGATCAATTCTGTATAAACAAATGAAATCTGGACAGGACCAGGTGTTCCAGGGCTATGAGAATTTACCACAGCAAGCTAGGTCTCAGTAGATTACACCAAATATTATAAGGACAATTCGGTCCTTTGCAAATGGACCAATCTCCATCCTTTTAGGGACAAAATAATAGCCACATACAAAGGATGGGTGGACCAAGCAATGCTGTCACTCACAGAACACAGAATTCAGCTTAATTTTTATTTCCAAAAAAGTGTATTAAGCAATTAAGATGACATGATCTGAATAAAAAAAATGGTAAAGTAGCAAATGTGAACAAAATTCTAGCTTGTAGTGTGAAAGCTAAAACTACTAAAATCCATATAGCATTGATGTCAATTGTTAGGAAAGCTAGAAATGATGAGAAAAATCTAGGTATCATTTGCAAATGAAAAGGGAATTGCTTGACTTTTCCACTAGAGGACATTTAAAGCTTTTGTTTCTTTTTCCTGCCAGGTATCTGCCATGTGAACTTTTTTGCAAAAACCTTAGCATAATAGAATGCAAGGTTGGAAGAGATCTTAGAGATCACCTAGATGACCCCCATGCCCAGTGCTACTACTACAGCCATAGCATCACTGATAGATATCCAGCCTATTAAAATGAATCCAACAAAAAAGTCTACTACCTCACACAGTAGTGAATTCTAAGGTGAGCAGCTGTTACTTTTAGGACATTTTTCCCAATGTGAGACCAAAATGTATTTTCTTGCATTTAAACCCCATTGTTTCTTTACCAGTCTTCAGGAACAATTCTGACTGATTTTGCCCCACATTCTACATAACAGCCTTTCATATATCTGAAGAGAACAATCGTGCTTCTCTGAATCTTGTTCACAATAACTTTAGCTATTCCTCATAAGCTTCCTTCCAGCCCTCTTATTACTTTAGTAGCTTCCTCTGGATTTGCTCTAGTTTGTCCTGAGAGGATTTGTCAAATGATTTACTGAAGTCAATGTTCTATCAAATTCCCATGGTTATTCTTTTAAAAAATCATTGTGGTTTTGCTATGATTTATTCTTGATAGGTCCAAACCGACTCTTCTGTTTCACTCTCTCCTAACTCCAAATGTAATTATGAGAGCCCACTTTTTCCAGGACATGCATACTTTTTAAATCTCTACTCTGGCTCCTGGTGAGGATTCATGCCAAACCAAATATTCCTGAAAAGGTGGGAGAGATCAGTGGCCAATCAGTGGATTCTGATGAAATCTCTCCAGAAAAAGGAGAAAACTGCAAGATCACCCTCTTGCACTCTGTGCAAACTAGTCCTCATAAGTAGAGATTGCAACAAGCTAGATTTTTTGTGGATGATTTGTGAGTCATGGAAAATGCTATTTTGAATTCTTAAATAAAATAATAGGACTCTAGTCTAAAGATTGGACAATAGAGAAAACTAGAAGGAATTAAATATTATGTTTAAAAAAGAACACTTAAATTTGACCTACTACTACAGAACGGAGCAAAATAATTCAACATGGGACATATTGAAAGATATGTGGGAACAAGACTCTGCCAATATTGACAGACTGTGTTTAAAGGATGCTACAGAAGAGGAACAAGTTTTACCAGACAAAACTGAGACTGATTTAAAAGTGGATTTAATAATGACAGGTTGCAAGAATGATATGGAAAGAGATGCTACACTGGATATACAAATGAAACCAGCTGGTACCTTAATAATTAAAAGGAATATACAAAACAAAAGAGTGACTTAACTTCCTTATATTGAATTTACAAAAGAGGCCTGTTAAAATTTTGAAGGATTTTGGGTGAAGGAACAAAGAAAAGTATAAAAAGAAATCAAGTTCTAAGACATTACTTGAAGGGCTTAAAGATAAAGATTGTTAAATGTATAAGAAAGGAATATAAGGTTGATTTATTTGATCAAGGTTAAACTAGATATATTATCTCTGGTAATCCTTAATAGACTGTTGCTGATCAGGACTGAATGACAAGACTTTAAGGATTTGTTTATAAATAAGAGACGAGACTGATATAGCATGTAAACAAGATATGGGAAGAAGAGATTTGCGTTTTGAGAAGGTGATAAGTTACTAAAATTTATGCTTGTTGTGATGAAGGGAGAAATTTATATTTTTTTATTTTTGCCTTTTTAATTCTCTGCACTATTTTTATTCTTTTTTAGTTTGTATTTTTATCTTTTTAATTGCATTTAGTAACTATTATTAAAAAAAAACCCTCTACCGTGACCATTTTTACTTGGCTCAGCTAAAAAGCACCAAATGTTGTCCTCATTTTTCCTAGTTATTGCTCCAGTCCCTTGATTTTATTTTTCTACATTTTCTACATTCCAACTCTTTGGGGGGGGGGGGGAATGCAGTCCATCAGTATGCTATTGTTTCTCTCCATTTCTTATTTTTTTATATATTGTTTGTCACATTGCAAATACACTGAACTAAATAAGAACTTTAACTAAAAATAGTATTTGGATACAAGCCAAGACTTGCAATCAAACTTAAAAAAACCCCCAGTATGTATTAAAGGACTATTTCTGTTGGCATTCTACAAATAAAATGAAACACAGAAAGTTGCAGTAGAATTGGGAAGAAAATAAATCTATTGCAAACTGGGAAGAAGTGCTAGGAATACACTACCTGTATACTCCTGTTTGTATAGCTATTATTTACTTATTAAAGCTAGTAATAAATTTGTTCTTGTATGCATATAAATAGAGATAAATATTTTTATTTGATTGATGAAGTGTGGAATTTCACTTTACAGGTCACCCGATGACTGAACAATTAGCAAAAGGTGGGTTTAAAATGAATTGGATAGAAGCTGAAGGGATCCTGCTGGAAGATCCTCCTTGTGAATCAGCATCTCAGTTTGAGACCAGGTACAGTACTGCTTTAAAACAGATGGATGGATGAACTCTTATTTCTTCTGGCTTTGTAATATAAGTGATGGTAACCTGTTAATGAAACATTTTGTTCCTGAATGCCCAATCCCTTTTTCTTATTTGTTGTGGAAAAAGGCTTATATTTTAGGAAACTGATTTCACCAAATATATATAGGTTTTAAACCTGTTTTTAAGAACTCAGAGACCTACAAAATCAAAATGTGTATGTATGTAATATTTAACATAAACCACAACGATAAGGAAATGATGAAATAGCTATTGCAAAATAACAACCAAACCCCAGTATGTAAATCACATGGTTCACTGCTTGAATAACAAACTTCTCCATATATATATGCTAAAGGTTAAAATCTGTGTTTAAAAACAATATACATTAGGGTTACATCTTAAACTTAGCATTTGCTTTTGGATCTCAGCAATACTATTTTGGAATCAAGACAACTGATTTAGTTCTGAATTATAATTATTTTACATTTTACGTTTTTTTTTTTCAGATAGTAGGCAGAAAAAAGTTAATCTACATGGGAAGTAATAAAAGTGAGCATTCATTCATATATTCATTCATTTATTTATTTTCATGAAAGAAAGTTGTGATTTTAATCTTCTGTAGCTCAAACACCCAGTTCCAAGTCTTCCAATTCCTTTAGAAGTATAGCCTCTTTCTGAATTTTCTCCATCTATAATATAGACATAAGACAATCTTACTTAGTATACATAATGAAAAAATAGTATAAAGTATAATCAATAATTATTTACAAATGTATCAGATTTAGGAATTCAGGTGATGTACAAATTATAGACAACTCTGTTAACTTAAGAATATGAGAAGCATACCTGATTTTTCTCTAGCTGTTTACCTGCAGCAGCCTGCTCTTTCAGCTGTTCAATAGCCTTGAGTTTCTGTAGTTCAGAAAGCATGGTTAAAAGGAGGGCAGAAACAACAAATTTAATTTGTTTTCTGTGGTGCATGCACATATGTGGAAAACTTTATGATTTTTTTACTGAGCCAAAAGAGAATCCTCCAGGTTACCAATGTCTTTACATTCCTTTCCAAAATACACTACACTAAAAAAAAAAAAAAATTTCAATTGGTTTAATATAAAGCAGATTCTTAAGTCCCTAGAAAATAAAATCCAAACTTCCTACCTCTCTCCTTTGGTTGCACAAACACACATAAGACTCATATATAACATTCAACTGTTTAATTTTGGTTTACTCCCATTTTTGCAACCTGCAGCACCCAACCTAGTCAAAATGCAGATTTTGGACAGCACAATTTTTGCAGTTTGGGGACAACATGATATTTTCATAATGCTTACACCAATTTTGGACCTTGGCACTGCCTCAATTCAAAATATCCAGGCCCATGAGTGTAGTCCTACCCAAACCATTGACTTTACTACACCACAGCTATACCCTTGTGGTCTGAGAAAGTAAGAGAGATAAAAATGATGACAATAATAGCAAAAGTATACTTCCCATTTCCCAGTCAAAAAAAGGGTTGTATCTCCTAGCTTGTGAACTAAATTGCTGTAGTTTATAAACCAGGAATTATGGTTTATCATATGTGAACCCAGTCAATTTTAGCCTAATCAATAAATATAGTCTCAGATAAACCTTTAAATATAATTGGGGAGTAATTTTTCTATTATGTACTCTTTGATATCCTTGTTTAAAGTTAATGAAAGTCTCCATGATTTAAGGTTTATCCACTAGCCCCTTTTACAAGCACTGTTCTTTCAAACATAGGGAAGGGATAGATGCAGCAAGGAAAATCTCAAGATAAAACACCATCCTTTTGTTGTTGTTCTTGTTGCAAACCTGAAAAAACATCCATTCTTGTTCTGTGTCTTTCTGAAAAGAAATTAACATTTTCTGCCTTGAGGGCTACTTTTGGCCTTTGAATATCACGCTAGAGGCCATACTCCCAAAATTTGTGAGAAGCACTAGGTTAGAAATAAATGTAATTTTAATTTATATTTAATTAACCTTAACTATAATAATTACAATTACTTCACCTATTTATCATATTGAAAAATGTACAAATAATTGCAGGGCATCTACAGGGATGAAGGGGTTTCAAAAAATTCAAGATGGCAGCCATAATGACAATTTTACTGGCCATATTTTTGATGCTGAATACTTGGAAGTCTTTGGATGCTGTACACACATTTTCAGGGGCCACATATGGTCCTAGGGCCTCATATTATGTACCTTGGACTTATAGCTCCAGCTGTTACAATAGTAAGAAAAAGTAAAACAAAGACCACTAATACTACTGTTCAACAAAATGAAATGGGGAAAGGATCTATCAATAGCCTTTGTTTGAAAAAACTATTTACCTTTTTAAGATTTTTTATCTTTTTCTCCAACTCAGGATCTCCGGATATTTCAGAGGATATTGTATTGCTCAATTCATTTTGTACTGGAGGAGCTGAAGTGATTTCCTGGTTCCCTTTAGCTCTCGCCTCCTTTAATGAAATATATCATTAGTTAAAACCAAGGCAGTGATTTTATTAATTATTGAGATGTTTTGAGTTCTAGGCAGTGATTTTATTAATTATTGAGATATTTTGAGTTCTCCAGAATTTCTAACTTTGGCTTATGTCAGTGTTTCTCAACCTTGACAATTTTAAGGCATGTGGACTTCAACTCCCAGAATTCCACAGCTAGCATTGCTGGCTGTGGAATTCTGGGAGTTGAAGTCCACATGCCTTAAAATTGTTAAGGTTGAGAAACACTGGCTTATGTGATAGTGAAAAACTGATCATTTTGAGCTTAATACAAAATTCTATGCAGAATCCTACTAAACAATGATTTACCAAATACCATCTGTTCAAAATGCAATGAATCATGCTTAAGAAAAAAAATAGCTATACCTGTTTAGCCACCTTCTTGGCTTCATGCTTCTTTTGATTTTTAAGTGCGGTTTTAGATAATGGCTTATCACCATTTTTTGACTGTGTTCTCATGTTCTGGGGTGGCTCATCCTCATGCTATGAGGAAGGAAATAAACAAAAAATAATTGATATATAAATAACCAGTTATAATTAACTGGTTCAGAGGCATAGAAAACATAGCAGGTATCTTTCTAAACTCTTCCTTGAAGATGATGGTTACTTACCAGTTTAGTACTAGTTACAGGTTTATTTCTGAGAGCTGGAGGTCTATAGGCTGGGGCAGTCTTTGGTTCCTCATTTAACACTTTGCTTGGAACAGCATGGTATGTTACTGGCTTTGCTGGAAATACTCCATCCAAAAAGGGTTGCCAACTAACTTGCCAAAGTTCTGCATTTGGCTGAACTTCGTATCTGTATAAGACAGAGCCAGTATAATGCCAGATCTTGAATCCATTCCCAACTCGTAGCCTTGGAGAACATGTAGCTGTTACTATATGCTCTCCATCAGGGCACCAAGCAAAATATGTAGAATCAGAGGCCTGTGGTTTGGAAATAAGTTTGTAGTTTTTAACATCCCATACATCGAGTTGTCCACTAAGATTCCCAAATCCAGCTAATACTAAGATTTGTCCTTGAGGACTGTAGTAGACAGCATTGTGTGGACCAGTCCCAAAATCAAATACAGGATCACATTTTAGATTGAAGATAGTAGATTTAGCAGGCATGAAACCATACACAACGCAGAACTCTGTGGCATTGGGATTCCAAGCTGCATCATAAATTGGACCGTTTTTTGCTGCACAGAAAAAAAAAATAGCTGAAATTGTAAAACAACATCTAAGTTGTTGAGAAACAAGTAAAATAAAAACCTAAACTTAACACAAATTACAGTTTACAATTGTTCAATGAAATCATAAGTGCTACTACATTTTGGTAATAAATGTTAGTTAAAAGCCAAATAGGAAGGAGGAGAGGCAGGATACATGGGAACAAAAAATTAAATGCAGCAAGCCAGGCTAGTTTTCTCATTTAGCAAACTGAAAATGATTTTTTGCCAACTTGAACTGTTTTAAGAAGCTAAGCCCCAATCTGTGATTTTAAATAAACTCAAAATTAAATTATGCACACTTGTGTCTGTAAAGTGTTGAGAATCTAGAGACTACAATATATTTAGTTAAAATTATATTTAAAATTGTGCTGGCCTGTATGAGACTATAATATTTCTTTGCAACTAAGGTTAGCTACAGCTCTCCTGTTTTCTGTTCAGAATCAATAACTGAGAACCTGGCCAGTGACTGGAGAAACATCTGCCAATTCATCAGCCAAAATATTGCCTAAGTTCCTTGTCCACCTGTCAGTCATAAAAGATTACTGAACAAGGTTACTATAATTTTTTAATATAGTTACATTCATCCTCTACTCTTATTATAGATTGGAAAAAAAGTCTCAATAGGTTTCATAATACGGAACAGTTGCAGAACTCAAGATTATCTACAACTTTGCAATTTTTCAGTAAGTAACTGGAATAGCCCTCTCCATGTGGCTATTTTCTTTTAAATTTGGTTATTATATAAATATGATGAACACTACAATTCAAGGTTTAAAATCTATAGTTTCATTAAATGTAATCATATAGAATAAAAGTAATTAAGCAAAGTCTTTAAAGAGAAGTATTTAAAACTAGTTGGCAGCCCCCGTTTCTCTTTCTAGTGTAATAACTAGAAAGACACTTCTCATGTAGAGTTGGGCTCTCTGTCCCATAAACATCTTTTTTAT